TCCGGACATTCGACCATAGCATTCAAAGCCTTTTGCCAAATTTCTGCCTGATAGACCGCTTGTTGAATGTGCTTAACCAACGCTCGTTGAATGTACTTAAACAACGTATATCGTGCAATAGACTCACCTTCTGATATCGGCCATGAAATTTAAATCGCTCGGCTGTTACCGACGGTTTAGGACTGAAATGATTCTTTAGGGTACCACGTTTTCAAGTTGTCCTACTTTGACGAATTACCAGTGACAGCAAAGCAGTTATAGGAAGTCACTAGTCACGATTCAATTTTGCCACGAGTTTCGGAGTTTACCATGAATTGATGGCCAAATGTGGTACAAGATGAAAGTCTAAAACCATATTTTGTGCACCGAAACGAGTTGTGCGCTGACCAGGGATGTATCCTTTGGGGACGACGGGTGGTGATTCCTCCAAACCATCGGAAGAGGATTTTGGAAGATTTGCATGACCAACATCCTGGCATTTATCGCATGAAAGCGTTGGCTCGAAGACCACATCCGCATCCGTAGACTCCAACTTATTCTCCTGAAAGTTTCGTTATTTCTTGGTGTACAAGTTTATGCAGAATGTATGTTTGTGAAGCTGAGAGAACCGTTGGAATACCGAGGGTGAACGGCGGAAGTCAATCCAGAAAACCATGTGGTCAGCAAGTTTCAGAGACAGGTTGAAAGGCTTCAAAAGGAAGGAATTCCGTGGCAAACTCGCGATCGCCATTACCATGAACTTTATCAACCGTAACACGAAGGTCGACGCAAGGGTAGACGAAATCAGTGAATAGCTTACATTTTTAATCTCCCAGGGCTTTTTTCAAGACCTCAAGGAAGCGACAGGGATTGATTTAGAGAACATTGTTTACTATAAAGACGAGACACACTATTTTGTTATGACAGCCAAAAAGAAGAGTTTACTTCTGTAAGGTGTTTTGAAGAAGGATTTATCAGATCCCAGAGACCTGTTAGCCCAGCAGAATGTGAACCGTGATAACCTATTGAATTACGCCCGAGAGGCAGCCGACTTTTGCACATCAAAACAACTCCCTTATCTTGACTTTGCTGTGAACCCTCAGAAAGTTTCGTTATTTCTTCACGCGGCGATGTTGTGTCGTCTTGTTGATGTTTGTGCATTTGTTTCGTTGCTGTTTTTTTCATGGAGCCATTTTGGCCGACTGGATCAGTTTGCGCCAGAGGCTTTCTGTCCGTATTTCACGCGGCCTGGATGATGAGAGGCTGGGGCCTAGGGCAGCGTCCCGTTGATCTAATCATTGAACGCGAAGGCGTCTACAAACTCTTGGCTCAGACGACCTCCGACAACGTGTCAAAGAACTACGATGGCTGCACGATCGACCCGAAGTCCCACTATAAAAAAAACAATCAAACTAGCATCAACATTTGCCATGATCATATGAATGTCCTTTTTGGCGTCTATGTGTGACAACAGGTGCTTCACAAAATGAAAGTTGTATACTGTCACGTTGGATTGGCTTTAAAGAATTAAACAATAGAAATTTTAATATTGGCTTAAAAACATGAATAGTCAAATTACGCCAGAATCAACGGTATTATTCATGATTTTAGGCCAATTATTAAAATTTCTATTGTTTAATTCTTTCAAGCCAATCCAACAATCCCGCCATGACTCCCGTCGTGGTGACCCTTCTACCTCCCCCATGACGGCCAAGACTTGCTCCACAGCGAACTTAAACTTGGCCGGTCTTCAAACACGTCTCTGAAAATGAAGATGATTAATTCGCGCAAATTACATCGTATCAATCAAAAATAGAAGTTTTTACAATAGAAACGAATTCACAGCAATACTGAATATCTTTATATTTTTATATTTTACCAGCTGTTTTTTATTGCACAGATAATTTACGAACCATTTTTTGGCTACTTTTCGTATACCACACAAATACAAAATACATGCAAAAACCACACAAATACAATAAACCACACAAATACAAAATATATGTAAAACTTACACTCATTTTAAACTAAAAAATGAACTGCTTTAATAGTTCTTCACTCCCTTCTTCCAGAGTTTTAGTTTCAGGTATCGGCCTGACCATAGCCTATCGAAGGACATGGACATGCTTATTCAATGGAAGTGGTAAAAAATATCGACTGAAAGCCAGTCTGAATTCAGTACAGTAGTTTCCTATCAATTTTTAATTATCCATGGTAAAAAAAAAACGCGCTCAACGTCCAAAATAAAAAAGTAAATATATATTGTTAAGTGAATCATAACTCTCCCCTTCGCTCAGTTTTTTAATCACTTGGCCCAAAACTAAAAGATGCTTGTTGATGAAGCCTCCTTCTCTTAAACGGACACCTTGTGCTCCAGTCACTGAGGCAGCCAAATCAACAAAGTTCCTGAAAATACACAAATCGGGGGTTTCAACAAAATGTCCTCCGTTTTTTAAAATGTCAACCGATGTCAGAATATATCCAAAAAGTAATTAGTTCCACCCAAGAAATCACAAGAACTAGGTCGTTCTATTTATAGTCCAGCGTGGACAAGACAAAGTCAAGACAAAGAAAAGTATAGTCAAGACAAAGAGAAATTCCGCTACGCCCAGAAAATTCGCCCTAGTGGAAAACAGCCTTAACGCCTAACCCATGCTGAGGCTCGCTCAGTGGTGCCGCTTGCACCCCACTAGGGTTACACTGAAGATGAGTTCAGTCCGAGAGCGTGTTCCATTTCACTCCCAGGATTTTCGTTTCCAGCTGATGATTGGCGACATTGGCCACATTTCCTTCTGGTTCTGAGTTGGCCTGATTATTTCCGAGTGCAGCAGTCACTTCTGGATGAATTGGCTTCCTGACGACTGGCGCAAGTTCCCTAGAGGGTCTAATCAAGGGTATGCCCCACCGGAAAATTAGAATCCTAGAAATGTCATTTCCTGTGATATGGGCATTGAATTATGAGCTTCAGTTTGACTTCAAAAAAGGAAAAACCTTGGGAATTGTGCCATGTTTCTGAATTTGATTTTTTGCTCCTCCCCCCCCCCTTGCATCCCTGTCGACCAAGGCCAACAGGGGTGCGCACTCCTGTGCACCCCCTCCTATATTTCAAAGGTATAGCTAGTTTTGGACTACGCATGGCACTTTTTTTGCCAGCCGATGTACGTATGGACATGCTTATTCAACGGAAGTGGTAAAAAATATCGACTGAAAGCCAGTCTGAATTCAGTACAGTAGTTTCCTATCAATTTTTAATTATCCATGGTAAAAAAAAAACGCGCTCAACGTCCAAAATAAAAAAGTAAATATATATTGTTAAGTGAATCATAACTCTCCCCTTCGCTCAGTTTTTTATCACTTGGCCCAAAACTAAAAGATGCTTGTTGATGAAGCCTCCTTCTCTTAAACGGACACCTTGTGCTCCAGTCACTGAGGCAGCCAAATCAACAAAGTTCCTGAAAATACACAAATCGGGGGTTTCAACAAAATGTCCTCCGTTTTTTAAAATGTCAACCGATGTCAGAATATATCCAAAAAGTAATTAGTTCCACCCAAGAAATCACAAGAACTAGGTCGTTCTATTTATAGTCCAGCGTGGACAAGACAAAGTCAAGACAAAGAAAAGTATAGTCAAGACAAAGAGAAATTCCGCTACGCCCAGAAAATTCGCCCTAGTGGAAAACAGCCTTAACGCCTAACCCATGCTGAGGCTCGTTCAGTGGTGCCGCTTGCACCCCACTAGGGTTACACTGAAGGTGAGTTCAGTCCGAGAGCGTGTTCCATTTCACTCCGAGGATTTTCGTTTCCAGCTCGAGATTGGCCACATTTCGTTCTGGTTCTGAGTCAGCCTGATCATTTCCGAGTGCAGCAGTCACTTCTGGATGAATTGGCTTCCTGACGACTGGCGCAAGTTCCCTAGAGGGTCTAATCAAGGGTATGCCCCCCGGAAAATTAGAATCCTAGAAATGTCATTTCCTGTGATATGGGCATTGAATTATGAGCTTCAGTTTGACTTCAAAAAAGGAAAAACCTTGGGAATTGTGCCATGTTTCTGAATTTGATTTTTTGCTCCTCCCCCCCCCCTTGCATCCCTGTCGACCAAGGCCAACAGGGGTGCGCACTCCTGTGCACCCCCTCCTATATTTCAAAGGTATAGCTAGTTTTGGACTACGCATGGCACTTTTTTTGCCAGCCGATGTACGTATGACATGCTTATTCAATGGAAGTGGTAAAAAATATCGACTGAAAGCCAGTCTGAATTCAGTACAGTAGTTTCCTATCAATTTTTAATTATCCATGGTAAAAAAAAAACGCGCTCAACGTCCAAAATAAAAAAGTAAATATATATTGTTAAGTGAATCATAACTCTCCCCTTCGCTCAGTTTTTTAATCACTTGGCCCAAAACTAAAAGATGCTTGTTGACGAAGCCTCCTTCTCTTAAACGGACACCTTGTGCTCCAGTCACTGAGGCAGCCAAATCAACAAAGTTCCTGAAAATACACAAATCGGGGGTTTCAACAAAATGTCCTCCGTTTTTTAAAATGTCAACCGATGTCAGAATATATCCAAAAAGTAATTAGTTCCACCCAAGAAATCACAAGAACTAGGTCGTTCTATTTATAGTCCAGCGTGGACAAGACAAAGTCAAGACAAAGAAAAGTATAGTCAAGACAAAGAGAAATTCCGCTACGCCCAGAAAATTCGCCCTAGTGGAAAACAGCCTTAACGCCTAACCCATGCTGAGGCTCGCTCAGTGGTGCCGCTTGCACCCCACTAGGGTTACACTGAAGGTGAGTTCAGTCCGAGAGCGTGTTCCATTTCACTCCGAAGATTTTCGTTTCCAGCTCATGATTGGCGAGATTGGCCACATTTCCTTCTGGTTCTGAGTCGGCCTGATCATTTCCGAGTGCAGCAGTCACTTCTGGATGAATTGGCTTCCTGACGACTGGCGCAAGTTCCCTAGAGGGTCTAATCAAGGGTATGCCCCACCGGAAAATTAGAATCCTAGAAATGTCATTTCCTGTGATATGGGCATTGAATTATGAGCTTCAGTTTGACTTCAAAAAAGGAAAAACCTTGGGAATTGTGCCATGTTTCTGAATTTGATTTTTTGCTCCTCCACCCCCCCTTGCATCCCTGTCGACCAAGGCCAACAGGGGTGCGCACTCCTGTGCACCCCATCCTATATTTCAAAGGTATAGCTAGTTTTGGACTACGCATGGCACTTTTTTTGCCAGCCGATGTACGTATGGACATGCTTATTCAACGGAAGTGGTAAAAAATATCGACTGAAAGCCAGTCTGAATTCAGTACAGTAGTTTCCTATCAATTTTTAATTATCCGTGGTAAAAAAAAACGCGCTCAACGTCCAAAATAAAAAAGTAAATATATATTGTTAAGTGAATCATACCTCTCCCCTTTGCTGAGTTTTTTAATGACGTTGCTCAAAACCAACAAATTTTGGTTGATAAAACTACCTCACAAGCGAACACCTTGTGCTCCAGTCACTGAGGCAGCCAAATCAACAAAGTTTCTGAAAATACACAAATCGGGGGTTTCAACAAAATGTCCTCCCTTTTTTTAAATGTCAACCGATATCAGAATATATCCAAAAAGTAATTAGTTTCACCCGAGAAATCACAAGAACTAGATCGTTCTATTTATAGTCTACCGTGGACAAGACAAAGTCAAGACAAAGAAAAGTATAGTCAAGACAAAGAGAAATTCCGCTACGCGCAGAAAATTCGCCCTAGTGGAAAACAGCCTTGACGCCTAACCCATGCTGAGGCTCGCTCAGTGGTGCCGCTTGCACCCCAATAGAAACTTTTCCACTCCTCCTTTAAAAAAATGCATATCCGCCCTTGCTATATCGATGTTTTTAAAAAAATACCGATAATTATCGATATGTTGCAAAATGGTGCAGACTCGAGCTTTTCCGCTATTGCGGAAGATCCGGCCAGCAGGATTTACTGTACCATATAACACTAAAGGGTATATAATTTTAAAGTTTCTTACCAGATGAGAGACCTTAACGGGTCCATTTGGCAATTCTCTGCTTTCTACAACTTTCTACATTTTATGACACTTGCCGGAAATCACACGGACATGATTAACTATTCTACTTCCTTACTATATATATATATATATATATATTATCATAGAG